TCACACACTGCTCAAGGGTGGCAGATGATCCCAGCACTTTGGAAAAATGTCTGGCAGAATCTTCTACAGTTGGACGCATGGGTCATGGCCCGGCCATTCTACTCCTAGCTATGTATCCAGGAGATACGTGCATTAGGCATACCAAAAGCCACAGGTACACAATAGTTCCCAGTTATGGCTGGTGTTCACACCTCTGGGTCATCCCCTCTCCTTGGGCGCAGGTGAGACCTGTACCATATTTCTAACCAACACCAGGCTGCAAAGGTGATGGCGATGTCACTTCTGTGATTATGTTACATGAGATCATAACTGCCACCTCACTAGGAGACTCCCTCCATTGACTCTCGTTGGCTTTGATGTAGCCACCACCTCGGGGAGAGGCCCACACAGCAAACAAAGACAGGGGGTCTCTGGCTAACAGTCAGCCAGGAAGTGAGGCCCTCAGTCTAACAACCTTCAGGGCACTGAATCTTTCCAACAGCCACATGACCTTGACAGTGGATCCTTCCCCACCTGAGTCTCAGATGAGACCTCTGGCCTTGGCCAGCCCCGCTCAGCGGTGGCCGGGTTCCTGACCCACAGAAACTGTGAGGTGATAAGCATGTGTTGTTCTGAGCCACTAAGGCTGTCATCATTTGTCATGCGGGAATAGATGACTACCACCGGGGAATGCAGTACAGCAGGGGAACGAAGGGGCCCGTGCCATCAGACAACAAGGCCGGATCACGGGGAGTGAACAAACATCATGTTGAGTGAAGGAAACCAGGCAGGAAATAGAATCTGTAGAGTTCATTTAGATGAAGCTCACAACAAAGCAGAACGAATCGATGACGTTGGAGGTCAGGGTGGTGGGTGGGTAATGCCTCGAAGGGAGCACAGGAGGCTCTAACAGTGGCCGATCTGCTTCCGGGTCTGGGTTCTGGCCAGGTGAATGCATGCCCTTTGTGAAAATTCTTCAAGGGTACGCTCATGACTGGTGCACTTTGTAATGTTTCCAATTATGCTGTTCTTCGGTAAAAAGGTTACCAGAAAAATGAAGCACTCTGGAGTCAAACAGCCAGAGTGGAATCCTGGTCTGACCTCTTTCAAGATGCATAACCGGACTAGCGCCCCCTTGTGTAAAATGGGTCGGGCTAAGAATTAAATAAACCACCCACGGTATACTGGCGGGTGCCTAACAAGCCTAGAGAAGCGTTAGCTGCTCTGGCTACATTCATAAAGGTTCATTGTCACCCGCGAAATACTAGCAGAGGTTTGTTTGGCCCGATGCCTGAAAGTAGAACTTTATGGAGTTGTCCAGCAGGTGCGACCCCATAGAGACCAGGTGGGTTGTTGGGAATCCCTCCAGGGGTCACCAGGGGAGGGAGCTCAGCCTGTCTCTGACACCCACACCCAGAAAGATCCCAGGGCAAGGGGCAAGATGATGCGTGGCTGTTCAGAGGTCGGGTTTGCTCTGAGTGGGGACTGAGTCTTGATGCAAATCAGAGCTCTCCCCAGGGTGTCTGTGACCTTGGGCCATCCTCCCACCTCAGCCAGAAAACAAAACAAGCAAACAAAACCAACAATGAGAATCGCGAACACTCACAGGGGGGGAGCCTGTTGTACTGGGCACAGCTCAGTAGTAAACACACACTAACCCCTGAATCCTCACCATCCGGGCCTTGCTATCCACACCTGTGCAGGTGGCCGAAGTGAGGCGCAGACAGAGTAGATCAGCAGACCACACCCGCGGTGGGATCCAGGATCAGCACACTTTACAAACAGGAGGCACACGCCCACTCCCGTGGCAAAGCCCGAGAAACCAAGGGGAGTTGAAATAAAACGACAGGCAGGTCTGGGAAGGGGGTACAGTGGGTGTGCCCTCCCCAGTCAAGGACAGCCCAGAGACCGTGGCTGACACAGAAGGAGGTTCTACGGGGGCAGAGGGCCCCCAGGAAGGAAGCCCAGGGTCCAGGCCAAGTTTGGTGGCAGGCCTTCCCCCCCTGCCCTCTCTCGGTCAGGGTCCTTTCCCTCCCTGCCTCGGGCACCGCCAGCTGGGGCCTTCAGGGCAGACAGGAGCCTGGCCAGTCCCAAGATGAGGGGGAGCGTGGGTCCTCTGTGGTTGGGTCGCCTGCAGTCTAAAGTACAAAGGGGGATGTACCTTTCCTGTCATACTCATCTAGATTCCAATCCTGCCAGATATCTTAGCTGTACTGTCTTGGGCACATTCCTACCTGTCTCTGAGCCATATTTTCCTGCCAAAATGGGAGTACTTTGCTAGAAATAATGACCATGGCCAATGTTTTTTTTTTTAGCTCTTCTCTGCAGCAGCCCTGTTCTAAGTGTTTAATTGTGAGGATTCAATGCAGTGACCCACAAGTAGGAGTGAGACAGCACGCAGCAAGTTGAAAGCCCTCGGTTAACATTATTCAGTCCAGTGTATGGGAACAGATGGGACCAATGGAGCTGAGATTTGAACACAGGCCCTTCAGACACCAGTATGTCAGTCATGATACAATATGGCCTTGGTAGCTACACACAGCTCAATAAAATTGATTGATTACAGGCATCACCAAGGAGCCCATATAATCTAGAAACCTCTATGTCTTCCTTCAGAAGTATTTTTAACCATCATTGTTTTTTTTTTTAATTTCTTTAACGTTTATTTATTGAGAGACAGACCGTGAGCAGGGGAGGGGCGAAGAGAGAGGAAGACAGAATCCGAAGCAGGCTCCAGACTCTGAGCTGTCAACACAGAGCCCGACGTGGGGCTCGAACTCACAAACCGCGAGATCGTGACCCGAGCCGAAGTCGGACGCCTAACCGACTGAGCCACCCAGGCACCCCTACCCCCCCCATCATTGTTTAATTGCAAGTTACAACTCCCTCTCAGTCCAAGAAATCATAAAGTCTCAAGTTACTGGGGTGTTTTGTTTTGCTTTTGAAATTAAAATGGGACACGCTCCCTTTGAGACGACGGCGGCATGTTGTGGGGAGGGGAGTCGAGTCCGGATTCAGCAGTTTTGCTCCAGCGGGTCTGAAAGTCGGCTGTGCTCTCGGTTCAACGTTCTTCACTGAGAGATGACCTCTGAAGGCCGATCGGGCCCCATGGGTTGCTCCAGCTCATGGCCTGCCCGGCGGTAAGCAAGTCTACCCCCTCCACTCGTACTGAGGATGAGAACTGGATTAAAGGCAAGCATAGAGGTGGGGGTGCAGGTAGGGGTGGTGCTCAGGCCTCCCATGAGCCCACCGTCCAGGCAGGTGGTTAGACAAGCCAACGTCCTGGGATAAGGACAGATCAGATCAGCAGCCCAAGAAGGCAGGAGGCCAGGCAGCTGTGGGTGCATGTCAAGGGCCACCCCTGCTCACTCTCGCACTCAGGCACCGTTCTAGGTACTGGTGATCCAGCAGTGAACTAAACAGAATAAAATCCCTGCCCTCGTGGAGCTTAGTTTCTAATAGAGGGTGGGGCAGAGAGACAGACAAATGAGATAAATAAATAAGATAATATGTGAAATGACAAGCGGTACGATGAAAAGAAGAGGGATAGAGTATCAGGGTTTTTATTTTGTTTTGTTTCTTGTCTTGTTGCTCCTTCTTGTCTATTGGGTTGTTTTTTTTTTTTTTTAAAGAAATTTAAGTGAGGTGGTATTTGAGTAAAATCTAAAGGAGGTGAACGAGATCTCTGGTGCAAGTAGTTTCTAGGGAGAGGAAACAGTAAGTGCAAAGGCCCTGGGGTAGAAAGGCCTTGGGGAATTGAGCCTGACCCTCCCTGTTCCTGTGAAGCTATTAGTAATCAGGCCCTAGTTTCTGTGGTCACTCCTCAAACTTTATGCCTGGGGTCTTTCCGGTTGTGCGGAATTGACCCAGGCAGAACCTTCCAGGCTGGGTGAGGCCCTGGAAGAGATTTCTATGGAAAGGCTCCAGGGAAGGTCTCTGCAGTTCTACTGCGTAAGTCAGGGGGTTGCCACGCTTGTAACAAATGCACATTCCTGGGCCATGCTCCACATCCGCCTACTCAGGATCTGTGATCGGGTCTGTGCCAGGGAATCCGCATTGCTAAAAGCCTCTAGGCACGTTTGAGCATCTTCGCTATACCCATTTCCATGATTTCTCTCTTAGCTCTTGTTCTGATTGACTGGGGTAGAGTCTCCCATATTTCATCTTTCCTAAACGCTTTGAGTTTTTCTTGAGGCACCTCGCCAGCCATTTCCTGCTGGGCTGTTCTGCTCCGCTGCATAAGGGGCTGGTCTGAAACAGGTGTCATGGGGGTGGCGGGAGTTCTTGGGATTTGCATGTTTCCTCCCTCCAGCCGGGTGCCCATGGTGGGGGCTTCAGGGACAGTGGTGACTGATGCAGGTCAACTCTGGGACCCAAGGGATGTCTGTAGAGATGAAGAACAAATGAATGAATAAACGTCAGTGTTGACAAGAAAGGGCAAGAACATTGTTAGTGGGGTTGGCGGTTTGGAAATATCCTTTTCCCAGCACATGGGAAAAAAGCCTCATTCTTTCAAAATCGTTCCTTCCACTCCATCCCTCTCCCATCCCCCTCCCATCCCCCTCCCACCTGGGTGGTGGTCCCCCCCAGCTTACTCTATTTTCTCGTCTGCAGCAGAGAGGACTAGAGATTCGGGTGGGACAGGAGCTACCAACCCCTGAGCTTCTCCGGGTTCAGCACCTTCACCCTCCCACCCCGTCTTCACGCCTCCAGCCAGAGCAAAGGATAGTAGGCAGGAAGGATTCTCGCGTCGGCTCCTTCCTCCCTGGAAAACCGTGGCCTATCTTCTGTGACCTCGGAGCCTCCGTGTCCCCATCTGTGAACCGGGCCTGGGGAACCCCTGGTAGCGGGCCAGGGATGCCCCAGGGCGCAGCCGCAGGCTGGGCTCCTCTAGGGCTCGCCCCGCACGCCGCCGGGGTCCCCACGCCTCCCGCCCCCGCCCGCCGCGCAGGCCACGCCCCTCACGGCGGCCCGGCGGCGTTGCCATGGCGACGCACGTACACAGGCCGGGCGGGCGCGCGGGGTGCTGGCCGCCGGCTGGAGACTCCGCGGGAGCGCGGCCAGGCCGCCTCGCCCCGGGGAGCGGGCCGGGCGCCTCCCGAGCCCGCGGGGCTCTCGGAGGGCGACTGGGCGTGGGCTTCTCCCTCCGGCCAGGTGAGTGCGGCACCGGGAGGAGGCAGCGGGCGGAGACCTGGGGCCCCGACCGGGTCGGCCCTGCGAGGTCAAGAGCTTGGAGAGGAGGCTCGGGACCCGGCCCCACCCACCCCGAGCTCGAACTCCTCTCCGGTCCACACTTGGGTCCCCGGGAGCACCCCAGAGCAGGTGTCCCGACAGCAGTCCGTCCTCCCTAAAATGCAGGGCCCCCCACCCACTCTGCCTCCGGAAGTAGCCTGCGCGGGAGCTTCCAGAACCTTCCTTGGCACCACATGTGCCGCTTTAAGCTATCCGAAGGGGTACGGCCGGGATTAGCGGGGTGCCAGGGCAGGTGACTGAGGTTCTTTTGCTCTTTCCTATGCCTGGTGTTTCAGGGCACTAAGAACGAATTTACAGAGTTTAACACGTTTCAGATTACTTTCTACCGTGTTTTCAGGCAGGCGAGTGACTGCACAGGGCAAGATGAAGGTGGAGAAATATCGTCCAACCCAAAAGCTACAGATAGAATTTAGGTTTTCCAAGAAGGATGTCTAAGGCAGACGCTGAATAGGGAGATTCGTAGCCAGCTGGCTGCACAGATTTGCTTTGATGTGCCGTTTGTATTTCCCTTCATTCGGCTAGTGTTTATTGAGCACCTACTGTGTGTCAGACACTGCTCCAGGTGCTGGAGATGGGGTAACCAGCAAAACTGCCAGGAACTGCAAAGGGTCTGAGGTTTTACCTTGTGTGTGAGCTAGTAAGTTAGCCTGGCCAGCTTATAGATGCTGGCAGAAGACACAGGACAAAATTTGTCAATGCCTTTGCTCCAAAGATGGGTACCAACACGAGATACCCATGAAGAATTGTCCCTTAACAAAAACAACACAGTTCTGGCTCTCCTGGAGCACACATCTCAGCGAAAGGGAAACAAACAACAAACACAACTAAAGAAAGGAACAGGAAAATGTCAGAGAGTGATGAGTACAAGGAAGGAAACGAGGCTACGTGGCAGGTGGCCACAAGGAGGGACATCTGAGCAGAGAGAAGGCACCAGCCCTGGGAACCTCTGGGGTGAGAGCTAAAACTCAGACATGCACCTGGCCCAAGTTCTGGGGTTCAGTTTAGTGGCATTTCCCGTGGTTTTCCTGCAGAAGAGACGTTTCTCCCAGGTTTGCGTTAGGTTTGAACGTGTGGCTTGACAACGTGGTCCTCTGCAGCTGAAGTAAATAACTGAAGTCATTTGATGACAACAGAGCATGGTTCTTTTGGAAGGGGAGATGCCTATCCCCTTCTGTTAGTGACAGTGAACTTAACAAAATGTATCTCTCACTCTATGAGATCATCAATACTTATGAGGCATCTGTAGCTCTCGGAGTTTACAAATAGAAAATAAACTATCTGGCTTATTTTTATTTCTCTTACTCCCCCCAACACCCGTGGGGTCTTTTCTTCCTTTCAGGGGGTGGAATCCTGGTTGTCAAGGACTCTCTGTTACTGCACATCCCAAGGGTCAACGGACAGTGCAGCTCCCCCCAGCCCGCTCTGCCCCACCCAGCATTAGCGGAGTCGTGCCGAAGGCTGAGCTGCAGGCGGATGGTCCAGCAGTTACATGCAGAGGCTCAGAGTTGCCTCCCTGACACTTGCCGCTGAGTGACCCTAATCTCTCCGAGTCTCAGAGGGACTGTAGAGTGGGACAGTACCAATATACCTACCCCGCAGGGTTGTGCTGAGGTTGAAATGAAGCAGTTGTGTGTACAAGGATAGCACAGTGCCTGGCACTTAGTAGGGATTCAATAGTTGATGATGGAGACGTCGATGAAGAGTAGAACCAGACCCAAGACTCTGTACGATCACAACGAGAGGGTCTTTGTTTTTCTCCGCAGTCCGACAGCTTCACGTGTCAGGGACCGTTCAGTTGAAAAGAGAGGGACTTCCGTTCCTTGGCCTGGCCGTGGCGATGGGGGATGTCACACTGTGTGACTGGACGTATCTCAAATCAGAATCCAAGCACCACATGAATTATTAGCGTTTTGGATCCTACTGAAGTCACTGACATTTTTCCATGTGAGGAAACCAGTGTAGAACTTACTTTGAAATGCATCAGACTATAAAATGGTTAGGTGAATGGATAGATGGATGGAGGTGTGGGTAGAGCAAAAATAGCAAAATGTTACTTGTAGGATCTAGGTGGTGGACAGGAAGGAGTTCTTTCAGCGGTCCTGCATCTTGGACATCTTCCTAATAAAACATTGGGGGAGGGGCGCCTGGGTGGCGCAGTCGGTTAAGCGTCCGACTTCAGCCAGGTCATGACCTCGCGGTCCGGGAGTTCGAGCCCCGCGTCGGGCTCTGGGCTGATGGCTCAGAGCCTGGAGCCTGTTTCCGATTCTGTGTCTCCCTCTCTCTCTGCCCCTCCCCCGTTCATGCTCTGTCTCTCTCTGTCCCAAAAATAAATAAACGTTGAAAAAAAAAATTAAAAAAAAAAAAATAAAACATTGGGGGAAAATAGGTCCAAGCTAGAGTCTTAATACTTTGCCTTTCAAAGTCACCCCTCTTCCCTTAAGTGTATCAAGGAACGGAGTGACTCACGATGATTCAAAGAAAGTATCACTTAAAGTCCATTCCCTCACCGACTGACTCATCAGTTTCAGGAATTCTGTAGAAGCTTAGAATTCTTTAGATCCAAGATTTGGAACAATAATAATAATAGGACAGATGTCCACTCTGAATGTTTCATACGTATGTTTGCATTTCATCCTCATGGAACCCTTCGGGGTACAGAGTATTATTGATCCCGTTTTACAGATGAAGAAACTGAGGCATGGAGAGAGAAGTAACTCACCCAAAGTCACAGAGCTAGTAGGGGGCTGGTCAGGAACACGATTACTTACTGTGTCAGATAACTCCCCTTGTGCTTAATGGGAGGCGCACAGCGATTATCAGTGGAATTGGTTTGTGCTCCGAGTCATGTAAAAAAAAAAAAAAGTCTCCTGTCCGATTGTCAGAACCAAGCTCATCTTTGCTAAATGTCACTGTTTAAAAGGGGAGTCTCAGAAATCTGCAGAATCAAAAGTGTGATCATTGGGGAAGTCTGTCTACCTTCCCCTCCCCCTGCTGATTTCTCCTTGGAACAATACAGTGCGTTTCGTCCCGTTCTCAATGTGGTGGTGTTGAGTAACCAGAAGACTGCGTTTTCCTAACGGAGTTTTTTCTGAAAACCTTATACAGGGAAAGCAGAGAGTATGAAAGCCTACCTAAAGAGCGCAGAAGGCTTTTTTGTCCTGAATAAAAGCACTACTGTTGGAAGGCATGAAGACTCAGACCTTGTTATAGAGGTAAGAGCTGTTCCCGCCGCTCCCAGCGCCTCCCCCCACCCCCCTCCACGCAGCCTTACTGTTCTTGTGGATTCCAGGTTCTTCTAAAGCGCACCCTCTGGCTTACATCTGTGCTTCACGTGCTACCAGTAACCCAACTGCCAAATATATTGGGTCTTCCCAGCATATGTAGCAGGGAAGGGTATGAGGCAAAGTGTGATGTGCCGTCTGTCCTCTGCTGGCCACGTGTACAGATGTCCCACCCATTGTCCCCTCCCCAGCACCCATTTAGAAGGGGGGCATGGAGCCCTGCTCTGGGTGTTTGACCCCTGCTCTGGGCCTGACAGCGAGGGCCATCTGAAGTACCTGGCTTGGGCAACGGCCTCTCGCCCTTTCTAGAGCTTTCGGAGACTGTTGTGATGTGTATAACATTTTGAAAATGTTATATAAATGGATTATACCCCAGGTGACCTTTTGAGGTCATTTGTGGGTTTTTTTTCCCCCTCACTCAGCATAATGTCCTTGAGATCACCTGTTATTTTTTATTGTTGAGTAATATCCCGTGGTATAGATGTTGAGTAATATTCCATTTGTTTAATCATTCACGTATTGAAGGGCATTCTGGTTGTTTCTAATTTGGGGGCTGTTACGGATAAATCTGCTTATGAACATTTGTGCACAGGTTTTTGTGTGAACGCAAGTTTTTATTCCTCTGGGATAAATGCTCGGGAGGGTGCTTGCTGGATCATATGGTGAGTGTATGGTTTCCAAAGAAAGTGCCAGACTGTTGTCCAGAGCAGCTGGACCATTTTGCATTCCCACCAGCGGTGTATGAGACACGGTTTCCCTGCATTCTCACCAGCAACTCGTGTTATCACTGTCTTTTCTTTTACCTGACTTTCCAAAAATAAATTTCAGGTTTTTTGAAGTCTCATGCTTTTCGAATCACGTCTAAGAACATGTCACCGGGTCCTTGATTCCCGAGGATTTCTCATACATTTTCTTCTGAAAGCTTTATAGATATTTTGTGTTTAAACCTATGCGCCATTTTGAGTTTGTTTTTGTATATGATGCGAGATTTCAGTCCGGGTTCTTTTGATTGCATGTGGATATGACGTGGCTCCAGCACCATTTGTTGGAAAGACCATCCTTTCTCTGTTGGACTCCTTTTGAAACCACTTGACTAAGTGTCAAAAACCACTTAGCCATACTTGTGGGGGAGCTGTTTCTGAGTTTCCTGTTATGTTTTGTGGATCTAGGTGTCTGTCCCTCTACCAATACGACATGGTTTTCGTTACTGTAGTTTTGCGAGTCTTGAATCGGGTAGAGCGGTTCCTCCCACTTTATTTTTCTTTTTTAAAAAAATGTCTCTTTACCTATTTTAATTCTTTTGCCTTTCCACACAAATTTTAGTAAAAGCTTGTCTATATATACAAAATATCTTGCTGGAATTTTCTTTATTTTTTTAAAAATTTTTTGGGGCGCCTGGGTGGCTCCGTTGGTTAAGTGTCCGACTTCAGCTCAGGTCACGATCTCGTGGTCCGTGAGTTCGAGCCCCGCGTCAGGCTCTGGGCTGATGGCTCAGAGCCTGGAGCCTGTTTCCGATTCTGTGTCTCCCTCTCTCTCTGCCCCTGCCCCGTTCATGCTCTGTCTCTCTCTGTCTCAAAAATAAATAAAAACGTTAAAAAAATTTTTTTTTTAATTTTTTAAGTTTATTTATCTATTTTGAGAGAGACAGAGACAGCATGAGAGGGGGAGGGGCAGAGAGAGAGAGGGAGAGAGAGAGAGAATCCCAACCACGCTCCGTGCTGCCAGCACAGAGCCCAATTCAGGGCTCAGACCCACAAAACTGTGGGATCATAACTTGCGCCAAAATCGAGAGTCAGACGCTTAACCAACTGAGCCACCCAGGTGTCCCTCTTGCTGGAATTTTAATAGGAATTGTATATAAGCCTATAATCAGTATGAGAATTGGTATCTTTACTATATTGTCTTCCAATCCATGAACATGGTATGTCTCTCCTTTTTTTCAGGGGGTCTTTGATTTCTTCCACAAATATTCTGTCATTTTTAGCATACCAGCGCTGTGCATGTTTTGCTAGATATACACTTAAATATCTTTTTTAAAATGATTATAAGTGATGTCATATTGTTGGGGCACCTGGGTGGGTCAGTTAGTTAAGCATCTGACTTCAGCTCAGTTCATGATCTCACCGTTCATGAGTTCAAGCTCTACATTGGGCTCCCTGCTAACAGCATGGAGACTGCTTGGGATTCTCTCTCTCTCCTTCTCTCTCTGCCCCTCCCCCACTCTGTCTCTCTCTCAAAATAAATAAACTTGAAAATGGTATTATAGTGTTAATTTGGTGTCCCCGTGTTCATTGACAATATAGAGAAACAATTGATTTTTGTATACTTAAATGATATCTTGCAACTGTAACTGAGCTTTCTAGAAAGTTTTTATAGATTTGTTGGGATTTTATATATAAACAGTCATGCCACCTACAAATAAAAACAGTTTTATTTCTCCTTTCAGGAAAGGAGATCTGAATACCCTTAATTTCATTTTTTTTTTTTTTTTTGCTTTATTGCACTGGCTAGCATTCTGTTGCATAAAAGTGATAAGAGCAATGTAAATCTTTATACTTGCCTTTTCCTAGTTTCTGAGAGTGTTTATCATAAACTCTCAGACTTAAAAATAAGTCAGTGGACCTCCCCTTGAGGTTCTCATCCATGGTGTGGTCTCCCTACAAGGACACAGAAAACCCATTCAGTGCACAGTCAGGGTAAAGAAGAAGAATTGCAGATTCTTCTTTATCATAACAAGGGACAGGTCTTGGGTAGTTTTATTTCTTGTCTGGCCAAGGTAGAAATAGAGACCTGTGTTTTGAACCTGAGTATGATATTAGAAAACTATAGTAATGTTTAAAAGCTCAGGCTTTGGGGGTGCCTGGGTGGCTCAGTCGGTTGAGCATCTGACTTCAGGTCATGATCTCCCGGTCTGTGAGTTGGAGCCCCATGTTGGGCTCTGTGCTGACAGCTCAGAGCCTGGAGCCTGCTTTGGACTCTGTCTCCCTCTCTCTCAGCCCATTCCCCACTCATTCTCTCTCTCTCTCTCTCTCTCTCTCTGTCTCTGTCTCTGTCTCTCTCTCTCTCTCTTAAAAATAAATAAACACTTAAAAAAAATTAAAAGCACAGGCTTTGGAGATAGACAGACAGGCCTGGGTTTGAATCTCACTAAGTCACTTGCTGGTTGTGTGACTTGAAGCAAATGACTTGATCTCTCTGAGCTCATTTTCGCTGCCTATAAGCCACTTACCTGACAGGATCGTTGTGAGAATTAAGTGAGAAATGCACAGAAAGTGCCTGGCACGTGCTTCTAACTAAATGACACCACGGTCATTATTATGGGCTCATAAAATGGAGACTGAGAAGAATCCTCAAAAGTGCACAGACAGGGGCGAGACGAGGAACCGTATGGAAAAAGGAACTAATGAGGACAATTTTTACACAGACAGGAATTGAGTTGCATTCACCATATAAAAATAATTGACTGCCTCCCGCTCCTCAGACTTAGTTTAAGAAGTAAGTCACCACCGCCAGCCACAGTCGCACTGATTTATGAAGCAATCAGCTGTGTTTCCAGAGGCACAAGCTTATATTGGCTCCCCAGAGAACAGATGACACACGAGTTGCCAAATATTTTGTGAGCAGACTTTTGATGGGTGCTTCTATCTGCTCTTAGACAAATCCTCTTCCCAAAGCTTAAATGGATTTGGGAGAGGAGATTTGCTTTGAAAAGGGTTGTAGGGACACGGGTCCATTTTGAAGACCTGGAACCCGCAGATGTGACAGCATTTTCTAGTTTTATAAAACAAGACAAAGTGAAAATCGCTTCTCTGCTGACTTCCTTGGGTCTTTCTGATTAGAAGAATCACCCTTGGGGACACCCGGGTGGCTCAGTCAGTTAAGCATCCGACTTCAGCTCAGGTCGTGATCTCGCAGTCCGTGGGTTCAAGTCCCGCATCGGGCTCTGTGCTGACAGCTCGGAGCCTGGAGCCTGGAGCCTGGAGCCTGCTTCCGATTCTGTGTCTCCCTCTCTCTCTGCCCCTCCCCCACATGCACTCTGTCTCTCTCAAAGATAAATAAGCATTTTTAAAAAATCAAAAAAAAAAAAAAAAAGAATCGCCCTTGGTTAGCTATGGTCCACGCTGAGGAATAATTCAACAGTCGATTTATAGTTCATGTTATTTGTGCTACTATAGGTCATTCCCCTAAACAAAGTTCAGAAATCCATATTAATAAAAAGCCTTCTTCAAAATTAGGCAGAGGGCACAGCCAGCAAGTAAAAATGATTGTTTTACTTACCTGAGTAAGTCCTAAAGAATAGGCAGTCATACTTCTCGAGATTTAGACTCAACTGGCCAGGCTGACAAATTGTTCTGGTCATCGATGTTCTTCTATGTTGCCACCATTCACTTTTTCTGATAACAGAAGGCAGTTACGTGCTTATTGTTTTTAAAAAAACTGGGAGAAAGCAAAGTGTAAGGGAGAAAATAAAAATCACGTGTAATCCTCTGGCTCAGGGAAAAATCAATATTGATATTTGCAGGGTTTCGCCCTGCAGACCTTTTTCTGTATCCTGTAAGGAGTTTGGTTCCCCGACGGCAATAGGAAGCCTGTGTTGGCGGGGCCAGGTTTTACCACTGTTATCACTCATTCCTTCCACAAATATTTACCTGGAGCCTCAGCACTGAGGCAAACCTGGGGATAAGGCAATGGCAGAATCAGGCATGGTCCGTGCAATCAGAAAGCTCCCAGGAGAGAGACGCAGAATCAGGCATGGTCCGTGCAATCAGAAAGCTCCCAGGAGAGAGACACAGAAGTCAGGGGATCCCACAGAGACATATGTTGTTTTATTCACACTGGGGCTCTAAAGAAAAGGAACATGGAGGATAAGGACAACTTAATGGACAAGGGGGAAACGGAAGGACATGTGCAAAGGCCCTGGGGTAGAGGAG